GTAACAGAGTAAATGAAACAAAAAGCCATACGAGAGGGTTAAAATAACTACATATTTAAGTATACATTAGCATTCCTGGGACATCTAGTTGTACGTAAACAATTCCTGAGCTAAAATCAAAGCTGTATAATCGAGTCATTGAAACCATTTTGCTGAGATTTTCAGGACAACAGCTTGAATAAGTAAAGAAATTAATTTTGGTTTTTATCCAAAGTCTCTAGGACTTATGAAGTCTATACATTTACATATTTATTAATATATTGCCTACCATATTACTATGCTTTTGTAAGTAGTTTTATACATTTTATAATGTATTTCCATAAGGCTCAGGAAATACTCGTTAGACTATAAAATACAGGCTGAGATTTATGAAAACATGTACAGTTTTGGCATGTATAAATTTGTCTAGGGAGCCAAAATTTCAGAAAGTGCTACTTATATTCATTGCTAGATAACTTAATGCAGGGTATCATTCCTTATAAATATTATGTGACATAATAAAATACTATGGATAAAGACTGCCAAGTAAGGATTCCTTGCTATGGTCAAGCCAGTTATCCGTTGGTTTAGACCTGTGCTTTCCAATATGACAGCCACTAGCTACCTGCAGCTATTTAGCTGTGAATTTAAATTATTATAATTAGATATGGGTAAAAATTCAGTTTTTCAATTACAGTAGGCATATTGCAAGTGTGCGGTAGCCACACATGGCTAGTGGCTATAGTATAGGATAATGCAGATTTGCACCATTTACATTGTTGTAAAGATATATTGGGCAGTACTGGTTCAAGTGTAAATGCCTTTCTATAGTCGAGCAGAGTGTCTGTAAAGCAAACTCTATCTTTGCATTGAGTTCCTTTAGGTTCATAGAGATAGGTTCCTGCAGCAGGGTGTGGGGTGAGAGATCTTAAGTAAAATTACTTGGAAAATGGTATTCCTTAAAATGTTTTGTACTGCAACTAACAACCCAAATCCAAGTGGCTTATGCTATCACTTCTTAAAGTGTTATACATGGACCAGCAGCATTGGTATCCCTTAGGAATTTGTTAGAAATGAAGACTCCCACCCCCTGCCTAGACTTCAAATCCCTAATAGAACATATTCCTCAGGTAATTTTATGCACATTAAAGTTTGGGAAGCCCTAATTAAAACCATAAGGAAGTCATTGTCTTATATTACAATAAATCCACAGGTGGGATAGCTATAGGTTAAGTTTGTGACTCCATTGTGTCATCAAAATCTGAGGTTCTTGGGGCACCTAGGTGGCTCATTTGTTTAAGGATCCGACTTTGACTCAGGTCATGATCTTGCAGTTTGTGAGTTCAAGCCCTGTGTTGGGCTCTGTGCTGACAGCTCAGAGACCGGAGCCTCCTTCAGATTCTGTGTCTCCCCCTCCTCTCTGCCCCTCCTATATTTATGCTCTGTCTCTCTCTGTCTTTCAATAATAAATAAAAATGTTAAAAAAATTTTAAAAATCCGAGGTCCTTTCATTTTTATTAGATTATAATTAATATGCAGTGTCATATTAATTTCAAGTACACAATAAAAAGATGCAATAATTCTATACTTTTCTCAGTGCTGATCAAGCTAAGCGTACTCTTAATCCTCTTCTCCTATTTCATCCATCCCCTTACCCACCACCCCCTGGCAGCTACCAAATCCGTTTTCTGTTCTTTTAAAAATTTTTAATGTTTATTTATTATTTTTGAAAGAGAGACAGAGCCAGAGTGCAAGTGGGGGAGGAGCAAAGAGAGAGGGAGACACCGAATCTGAAGCAGGCTCCAGGTTCTGAGCTGTCAGCACAGAGCCTGATGTGGGAGCTCGAACCCACGAACTGTGAGATCATGACCTGAGCCAAAGTCAGACACTGAGCCAACGAGGCCACCCAGGTGCCCCCCAAATTTGTTTTCTGTATTTCTATTTTTTGGCTTGTCTCTTTGCTTTGTTCCTTTGTTTTGTGTGTTAAGTCAACATAGGAGTCAAATCCTGTGATATTTTTCTCTAACTGGCTTATTTCACTTAGCATGATACTCTCTAGGTCCTTTCAGTTTCTTGGTTTTGCTAGCCTCCCTCTGTCCTCAGATGATTTTACAATTAGAAGTTGGCTGCAGCAGTTCCCAGTATCATATCCTGACATGCTCTGCCTTTGGATTTTGTTAGAAATATGTCCAATCTGGCAGTAGTTTTTTCTTGTTCCACAGTTTCCTCCCTCCATTGCCAGTCACGTATTTATGCTTCATTTTCCTTTTGTTTTTACAGCCTTTTCTAAATGACTACGTGAAAATCATAAAATGAAACTAAGGAAAATGCCAACTCTTTCTTGCCTATAGGTTGTATATTTTTGTTTTATGAAATTGACAAATTTCCTTAATTTATTTCTAAAGTTACCCCTTCTACTATATTTAAAAAGGGGACATTTGTGTTGTAAAGGCTTATAAACAGTCTTCTGATAGCAGTGCCACCTTGTGGTTATTTCTTTCTCTGCTCAGCCATTGCCATAGGCCACCGTTCAAGTCCCGTCCCTGCTGCTCACTCTGAGCTCTGGCTTGTCATTCACCCGGATACATTGATGCTGTCTATTTCCAAGCCTCAGCGAGCAAAGGAAGCATAGCACCTTTTACCACCTGATGACTTACTACATATAGCGCCTATACAGAAAGCAATAAGTAGTTACCAGACATTATTGAATCATGAAGAGTAAAGTAACCACATTGGGAAAGCAAAAGCATTTTTAAATATTGTATTAAAAAAAATTGTTCGTAGGGTGATCTGGGTGGCTCAGTTGGTTGAGCATCTGACTCTGGCTCAGATTGTAATCTCATGGTTTATTCGAGCTCCGCATCGGGCTCCCTGCTGTCAGCACAGAGCCCACTTCAGATCCTCTGTCTCCTTCTTTTTGTCTCTCCCTACCTGGCAGTCTCTGTCTCAAAAATAAACATTAAGAAAACACTTATTCTGGGGTGCCTGTGTGGCTTAGTCGGTTAAGCGTCCGACTTTCGCTCAGGTCATGATCTCGCGGTTCGTGGGTTCGAGCCCCGCGTCGGGCTCTGTGCTGACTGCCAGCTCAGAGCCTGGAGCCTGTTTCAGCCTGTGACTCCCTCTCTCTCTGACCCTCCCCTGCTCACGCTGTCTCTCTCTCTGTCTCCTAGAAATAAATAAAACATTAAAAAAAAAAAAAAAGAAAGAAAAGGAAACAATTGTTCTTAAAGGCCACATGAAAGCCCTACAAAGTTAACCTCTTCACAGAGGTTCCCCACAGGGACAACCTACTCACTAGCTGTTTCCAGCATAGTATGGAATTCAGTGAATATTTGTTGAATGAAGTGTCTGTCTTAATGTTTATAAAAAAAAAAAAGAAGTAAATATGTTTTAAAAAATTGCTTATTAACTCTAAAAAATGTGAGTTATGCTTGTAATATTTCTTTACATATAAATAATAGTGTGGGATTTTTTCTTCAGTTTTTGAAAAGTAAAATTTTTATCTTGATGTAAGGGCAAACTGGGCAGGAAAAACAGCAAAAATAAAGAGTGATACTGTAATATATATACCTTGTAATATATACCTTGTAATATATACCTTGTAATGCAAGGATCATATTTTTTATCTAAGAGGCATCTTTGAGTTTTTCTTTTACTTAAATGGGTGCTTCTTCATTTATGTTGCTTCCCATAAAAAGGAAGATGTCTACTTTTTTTGTTTGATAAATGAAAGCTCATTCTCATAGGCTTTTCACTGTAGTGTGCCTCAGTGAACATGTGTTTGTGAAAGGTAAAAGATCAGTAAAATGATGTCATCTGAATTATATTAAACACTCAACTATGTGTGTATTTTGTGTGTTTAAACGTGCTGACTAATGAAAATTTCTGGTAAAGATTTTATAAATCACAGTAGTGAATTCCTAATTCAAATTATGTCTTCCTTATCAGTGTTATAAGATTAATGTTCAGTATACTATGGTTTCCTAAAATGCTTTAAACATATCTCCATAAAGAATATTTACCTCAAAACAGGTATTAACACTTCTCATTTGAGTCTCAAGTTTTTATTGAATGGATAAAATGACCTGTTTTCATTTTCATCCTCACCATGAAATTGTGTGATTGATAAGCACGACATCATCCCTCGTCCCTGATGCAGGCAATCTAATTGAGAAGGCTTAGTTTAAGAAGTTGGTTTTAGGACATATAGCCAGGCTCTAAAGTCATTATCCAGCCCACTATTGTTTACATTTTTGTAAACAGTACTTCTCTGTCACTTACCTATTTCTGCATAACAAATGACTCCAAATCTTAGTGGCTTAACACAATAATTTATAATTACATCATGATTCTGTAGATCAGGAATGTGACCATGGTTCATCTAGGTGATTGTTCTGCAGTTATCATCTGGCTGAGGTCACTCTGTGAGCTGCATTCAGCAGGAAGCTCAACTTGTAAGGCAGCATTTTATTCTCTAGAGTCACTTTCAACATAGTCTCTCGTCATTCAGGAGTGTAGCCTGGTCTTCCAACGCCATGGCAGCTGGGTTCTGAGAGAGAATATAAATGCTTCCTATTTTTCTATTGGTCAAGACAAGTCACAAGGCTAGTCCATTTTCCTGAGGATGGGAAGTAGACTGCAGGAAAGAGTGGCAAAAAATTTGTGACCATCTCTAATCACCGCACATATTAAAAGAAGGGAGGTATAAATGGACTGTTGCCAGGATATGCTATTAGTTCACTTATCAGAGATAGATCACAGTTTACTTAACACATTTACATTTAGGTAGCTGAGTGAAACTTAGTAAACCTCACACTGTGTGAACTCTAATACATCAGAGAAAGGATAACTTCAGTGGTGATTCAGCATGGGCTCTGCTTCTCTTGTTAATGTCTGTTATATGCCAAACAGTGTGAACATGCCATAAATTATAAACATCAACAGTTTTATCTGCTACGTTTAATAATAGTAAGTAAAATTATTTTGATAGAAGTACTAACAGACATCTTTCAAATTTTCAGTTTACATAAAGTTCTAATGGATCTCCAGAATCAGCATCTGAAAGAGTTAAATGACTGGCTGACTAAAACAGAAGAGAGAACAAGGAAAATGGAGAAAGAGCCACTTGGACCTGATATTGAAGACCTAAAACGCCAAGTACAACAACATAAGGTTAGTATATTTTATGCTGTTTGCTTTCTATTGGAGACCAAACTCTGTGTATATATGTATGTATTATATACACGCATATATGCACATATCAGGGTTTACAGATCAGAAAGAATTAAAGCTTCAATTAAGAAGACTTTGAGAGTCATCTTTACCTATTATTTTTTTTGAAATACTTGTTTTTTCAAATATGGCATAATTAGGCTTTTTCATATTTAAAAAAAAAAAAAAAGCAAGTGCATTCCTGGAGGACAACAACCCTGGATATGTGATTTATTAAAGTTTTGGTTTTTTGGAAGAGGGACTCTATAGGGATTACTTGCAATGCAAATTTAACTAATAAGACAAGATATTTTTGTACATGTTTTTACCTTCAATTTATAAAGTCTTTGAACAGTCCAATTTGATTAAAATGAATATCTGTAACATCGCTTTTCTATAAAATACAGAATCTATTATTCGCAATATTTCCATCGTATCTTTTTTCAGTTTATTTGTATATTTACAGCTTACGCTCTTTGGTTGCCAGAAAGCGTTTGTTGTTTCTAAAAGTAGAGTTTCTACAGGTATATTTCTTTATTTTTTTCTTCAGCATCCATTTTTTAAATTTAGGTAAAATTGACATATAACATAATAGAGATTTTAGTTATATAATATAATGATTCAAAATCTGTATACACTGTGAAATGATCAGCAATATAAGTCTAGTTACCATTCATTGTCATACAGAGTTGCACATTCTTTATTTTGTGATGAGAACTATTAAGGTGGACCCTCACGACACCTTTCAAACATGCGCTACGATATTACTGACTGTTGTGCTAGGCTGTACATTACGTCCAGATGACTTACTGTTTTATAAGTGGAAGTTTGTACCTCATGACTCCCTTCAGCCATTTTGCCACCCCCCAACCCCTCTCCCCTCTGGCATCTACCATTTAGTTCTCTTTATCTGTAAGTTTTGTTGTGTTTTGTTTTCTATATTCTACATATATGTGAAATCATACAGTATTTGTCTATATCTTTCTGACTTCTTTCACTTAGCATAATACCCTCAAAGTACATTCATGTTATCACAAATGGCAAGAATTCATTTTTTTATGTCTGAGCATATTCCATTGTGTATATGTGTATGTATGAATATGTATACACACACACATGCATGCCACATCTTCTTTATTCACCCTTCACTGGACACTTAGGTTGTTTCCATATCTTGGCAATTGTAAATAATGCTGTAGTGAACATAGGAGTACATATATCTTTCTGAGTTATTGTTTTCATTTTGTTTGGATAAACACCCAGAAGTTGAATTGCGAGATCATATGGTAGTTCTATTCTTAGTGTTCTGAGGAAGCTTCATACTGTTTTTCATAGTGGTTGCATCAACTTACTTTCCTAACAACAGGGCACAAGGTTCACTTTTCTCCACGTCCTCCCTAGCAGTTGTTATTTCATACGGTTTTGTTTGCTTGTTTGTTTGGTCGTAGCCGTTGTAACAATTGTGAAGTGATAGCTTATTATGGTTTTGATTTCCATTTCCCTGATGATTAGTGCTGTTGAGCATCTTTTCACGTGCCTATTGGTAAAATGTCTATTCAGATCATTTGCCTATTTTAAAATCTGTGTTTTTGGTGTTGAGTCATATTAATTTCTTTATATATTTTGGATATTAACCCCTTATTGGATATATGATTTGCAAATATTTTCTGCCATTCAGTAGGTTATCTTTTCTTTTTGTTGAAGGTTTCCTTTACTGTGCAGAATCCTTTTAGTTTGATGTAGTTTTACTTGTTTATTTTTGTTTTTATTACCTTTGCTTTTAGAGGCAAATCTGAAAAAATATCATCACCATGACTACTGTCACAGAGCTCACCACTTAGGTATTCTCTTAAGAGGCTATGGTTTCAGTTCATACATCAAGTCTTAATCCATTTCGAGTTAATTTTTGTGTATTGTATAAGACAGTAGTCTAGTTTCATTCTTTTAAATGTGATTCTGCCCTTTTTTCAACACCATTTATTGAAGGGAGTGGCCTTTCTTTATTTTATGTTTTTACCTCCTTTGTTGTAAATTAATTGACCATATTTGCATCATCTAATTCTGCGATTTTTATTATATTCCCTTGATCTGTGTGTTTGTGTTTTATGCCCAAGCCATATTTTTTTTTATTAAAATATTTTTATTTATTCCTAGGAGAGAGAGAGAGAGAGCGTGAGCAGGGGAGGGTCAGAGAGAGAGGGAGATACAGACTCTGAAATAGGCTCCAGGCTCTGAGCTGGCAGTCAGCACAGAGCCCGACGCGGGGCTCGAACCCACGAACTGCGAGATCATGACCTAAGCGAAAGTCGGACGCTTAACCGACTAAGCCACCCAGGCGCCCCTCAAGCCATATTTTGATTACTCTAGCTTTGTAATATAGTTTGAAATCAGAAAAAAATCATGCCTCCAGCTTTGTTCTTTGTCCACATTGCTTTGGCTACTCAAGATCTGTTATGGCTCTGTACAAATTTTAGGATTGTTTGTTCTAGTTCTATAAAAAATGGCATAGGAATTTAGATGGGGATTGTGTTGACTCTGTAGATTGCTTTGGGTAATATGGACATTTTATATTATTTTATTTTTTATAGTTTAGTGTCAAGTTGGTTTCCATATAACACCCAGTGCTCATCCCAACAAGTGCCCTCCTCCGTGCCCATCACCCCCCTTCCCCTCACCCCCACCTCCCCTCAGCCCTCAGTTTGTTCTCAGCATTCAAGAGTCTCCCTCCCTCCCTCTACCCAACTATTTTTCTCCTTTTTCTCCCGCTTCATCTTCCGTTAACTTCCTCCTAATCCACCTATATGTGCAAATATATAGTATGTGTCCTTCTCTACCTGACTTATTTCACTCAGCCTAACACCCTCTAGTTCCATCCATGTTGCTCCACATGGCCAGATTTCATTCTTTCTCATTGCCATTTAGTATTCCATCATATAGATAAACCACATCTTCTTGATCCATTCATCTGTTGATGGACATTTAGGCTCTTTCCATGTTTTGGCTGTTGTTGAGGCTGCTGCTATGAACATGGGGGTGCATGTGCTCCTATGCATCAGCACTCCAGTATGCCTTGGGTAAATTCCTAGCAGTGCTACTGCTGGGTCATAGGGGAGTTCTATCATTAATTTTTGGAGGAACGTCCATACTGTTTTCCAGAGGGTTTGCACCAGCTTATATTCCCACCAGCAGTGTAGGAGGGTGCCCATTGTTGAGAGTGCTGCTATGAACATTGGGGTACATGTGCCCCTGTGCACCAGCATTTCTGTATCCCTTGGGTAAATTCCTAGCAGTGCTATTGCTGGGTCATAGGGGAGTTCTATTGTTAGTTTCCTGAGGAACCTCCACACTGTTTTCCAGAGGGGCTGCACCAGTTTGCATTCCCATCAAGAGTGTAGGAGGGTGCCCCATTTCTCCACATCCTCGCCAGCATCTAGAGTCCTGATGTGTTCCTTTGAGCCACTCTGACTGGTGTGAGGTGGTATCTCAGTGTGGTTTTGATTTGTATTTCCCTGATGAGGAGGTATGCTGAACATCGTTTCATGTGTCTGTTGGCCATCTGGATGTCCTCTTTGGAGAAGTGTCTGTTCATGTCATCTGCCCATTTCTTCCCTGGATTGTTTGTTTTTGGGGGGTGGAGTTTGGGGAGTTCCTTATAGATTTTGGATATTAGCCCTTTATCTGTCATTGGCATTGGGTGTCTGTTAGTTTTATGGATTCTTTCCTTTGCCTTGCAGAAGCTTTTTATCTTGATGAGGTCCCAGTAGTTCATTTTGGCTCTTGATTCCCTTGCCTTTGGGGATGTGTCAAGTAAGAAATGGCTGTGGTTGAGGTCAAGGAGGTTGCTTCCTGCTTTCTTCTCTCGGGTTTTAATGGTTTCCTGTCTCACATTCAGGTCCTTTATCCATTTTGAGTTTATTTTTGTGTACGGTGGGAGAAAATGATCTAGTGTCATTCTTCTGCATGTTGCTGTCCAGTTCTCCCAGCACCATCTGTTAAAGAGGCATTTTTTTTCCCCATTGGATGCTCTTCCCTGCTTTGTCAAAGATTAATTGGCCATACATTTGTTGGTCCACTTCTGAGTTCTCTATTCTATTGCATTGTTCTGTGTGTCTGTTTTTGTGCCAATACCATACTGTCTTGATGATGACAGCTTTGTAGTAGAGGCTAAAGTCTGGGATGGTGATGCCTCCTGTTTTGGTTTTCTTCTTCAATATTACTTTGGCTATTCGGGGTCTTTTGTGGTTCCATACAAATTTTAAGATAGTTTGTGCTAGTTTTGAGAAGAATGCTGGTGCAATTTTGATTGGGATTGCATTGCATGTGTAGATTGCTATGGGTAGTAATGACATTTTAACAATATTTATTCTTCCGACCTATGAGCATGGAATGTTTTTTTTTTCCATTTCTTTATGTCTTCTTCAGTTTCCTTCGTAAGTTTTCCATAGTTTTCATCATGAAGATCTCTTCTATCTTTGGTTAGGTTTATTCTAGGTATTTTATGGTTTTTTGTGCAACTGTGAAGGGGATCAGTTTCTTGATTTCTCTTTCTGTTGCTTCATTATTGGTGTATAAAAATGCAACCAATTTCTGTACGTTGATTTTGTATCCTGCAACATTGCTGAATTCACGGATCAGTTCTAGTAGGCTTCTGGTGGAGTCTGTTGAGTTTTCTATGTAGAGTATCATGTCGTCTACAAAAAGTGAAAGTTGGACTTCTTCTTTACCAATTCTGATGCTTTTTATTTAATATGAATATTTTAATAATATTAATTCTTCCAAGTCGTAAGCATGAAATATCTTTCCATTTATGTGTGTTTTCTTCAGTTTCTTTTATCAATATCTTACAGTTTTTAGCATGGAGATCTTTCGCCTCCTAGGTTAAATTTATTCCTGGGTACTTTATTCTTTTTGAAGGAATTGTAAATTGGGTTGTTTTCTTAATTTCTCTCTCTGACAGTTTG